ATAATAATCTCAACAAAAATTACTGCTACAGATAGAGCGTCTACTCAAGAATATAATCTGATAATTTATCAATATTTAATTAAAAAGTCCCGAAGCCCCAGACTGACCCATATACAAGAATTATTACTAAACAAAACATTATAATTGCAATGCTAGTTAGTTTTATATCTAAATCTACATTAAGTTTAGAAAATTATAGTTGTTTTGAATATCTAATTTGTATCTAAGATCACAGTATAAATTTAAAATGTTCGTAACCAAGATCCTGTTTTTTAAATTATCTAACAACTGGGCCAATTGTCTCAAAAGACTTTCATGATTTTGTATAAGTAAAATACCAATGGTATTTTCCGGGTACTGAGAGACTAGGGTTATAAATGTCCTTAGTTCTATAAGACCAAGCCAACTTTCTGAAGTATACGTAGATAATGCTGTGTGCCACGATCATTATACATTCCAACAATATTGATCTCATCACTAGACATTACAAATCATTAAAATCATTATTAAGATAAAATTATTCGGAACCATCAATAAACCTTTATACCTTACGTTTTATTGCAATATATGTTCATTCCTGTTAGTAGCTCGAATAGTTGATCGTAAACATTGCTAACTTCTGAACCTATAGTTGAGGGTAAAAAAAAACGAAAACAAAAATTCTACACAATTAATTGATAATCCGCAAATCGAAAATCGAATTAATCGATTAGTTGTAAAGTTGACAACTAATCGATTAATTGATTAGTCGATTGGTCAACTAATTGGCTAGTTGATTGGTCGATTAAATCAACCATCACATAAGAATATCGACCGGCGTTTCAGTTACTACCTTACGTACGTGTATTTTACCAAATTTCGGTTATTATTTATTCAACTAATCGATTAGTTGGCCAATCGATTAATCGATTGGTCAACTAATCGATTAGTTGAATAACCGATTAATCGATTAGTTGGATAAAATGATCTATCAACTAATTGATTGAAATTTTTCATCGATTTGTCACTAATCCGCGAGAAAATGATCTACAATCATTAAGTAAATTAATAAAAAAAAACCGATAAATATACGATTCACGATTCATCCAACTATTTGTTAATTACCCAACGTAACCACTCGCTAATCGCCAAACCCACTACTTACACAACCTACTTGCTAAATACTATCTTTCAACCCAATTACTGTGCCATGTTCCTGAATTAAGGACCTTTATAACTTTGGTCGCCGAACATCCTTGCGGTGTTGCTCCTTGAAAATAACCAAAGCCTTTCCCGGCAAGCATTACAAATTTTAAATAATTTTAATCCTGTTAAATACCCCCAATTGACCTACCCGATAATAACTCAACCAATCTACTAATTACATAGCTATCTTCTAAATACTCCATCCACGCACTAACTACCTAACCATTCCCAATTGACTTGCTAGTTAAGATCCAACCTATTTAAAGATCCAGCACATTCGTTGAATTAAGATTCAAACTACCTTTTATCACTAATGCTATCAATAAACATTTTCAAGATAATACTTATATTCAAGACTAAAATAATTTAACAGAATTTAAATTACTTATTTCTAATATTTTATCAAATTATTTTCTATTTTCAGCACTTTTTAAAATATTAATTATTTATTTTATTTAATTCAAATTAGCTTTAGATTTTTTACAATGTATTTAATCATTATTGTCAAATTACAAATATAATTCCTAGCAACCGGCCATAAATATTAAAGTAAACAAAATCTACTAGCGCTAGATAATATGTTCCAACTTCAGAACTTATCTTTATTATATGTAGTATATAATATGTCGATGATCGCCTTGATCACACTAATGTAGATGTTATTAGTAATTAATGACCTATATAAAGTAACATGATATTTTAAAAAATACCTTTTACAATGGTCAATGGGACTCGATCAACTCACTGACAATCACTTCGAAGACACCACATTTCACCGAACCCATTTTATCAGCAAGCTTATTTTGCAGACGATTAATTTACTAACAAGTACATTTCATCGATAGCCCATTTCACAGATGAAGTAATTCTAGCCTGTCGTTAGGGTTAAGTTTAAAATTAGAGTTAAGGTTAGTGCGATCTATAAAAAACTTGTCTGTGAAATAAGCTGTATATGAAATATACAGTCTACGAAATTCTTTCCGTTACTCATATAAAGTTTATTAACTAAAAAAAAATCTTGTGTAGCTACATTATGGATCGATCGTAAGAATGCGGAAAACATATGTTATTATGTCATGTACTGTACACAATAATACACTTCTTCATTAAACATTCGAAACATACCTAAAGATTCAGTATTCGATTTCAATAAGGAAATACCCCATTTCGAATCATCCACCTTTAAAAAGAGAAAGCAAAATGATTAATATTACAATCAACAGTAAAGAATAACTAAGATTAAGATTATAAAATCAGATATAAAGTAACCCGAACGAAAGAGTAGTCTGAATTGAGTTACATCAAATATGATGCCTTGCGTATCGTACTTCATAGAGCTACCACTAGCGAACCACGTTCAAACACTCCATGGACCATGCCAATCCGTCAAAAGACTTCATATTATAATCCAGGAGGGTATCGTTTCTGTTTATTCGCTCCCATTCTCACAGGAATCTCAGCTAGAGATTTTTATAGTTTTTCTCAGACCTTCCCAAGGGTTATGACGACGGTGAGGAAACTCACTGTCCGTATGTTTTCCCCTTACACAAGCTTTTCGTTCGGGTTGTATAAAACACAATATCATATCATCATATGTAAGGGTGAAGATTGAATAATAATCGATTCCGAACCTTTATCAAGCGAGTCTTAACTACGCTAAAAACGCAAACGCCACCACTGAATATGAGGGTGAAAAAATAAAGACCAGTGCCTGCTAAAGGAAATCAAGGAAAATGAGATTTTAAGATTAGTTTTGGCAGAAATTAATAGTAAGGTTACTACTAACAACTATCACATGATAAATTAAATTAGATTATCTGTATCGGTGCTTGGTATTTTCAAAGCCTCGATAAAAATGCAGACCGCAGTCTTAAAACCGAAAACTAAAAAAACCATTAACAAACCAAGCCGTAAAGGAAAAAAAGCGTGGAGAAAAAATGTCGACATAACTGAAGTTGAAGAAGCTTTAGAAAAGATAAGAGATGAGGAAAGAACTTTAGGGTGTGTTTACAATAATGTGTGGAGTCAATCAACACCCCTCTGATGTATAGTCAGGAGGTTTAAAAAAATGAATCAAAATATATAGTATGGAATCACATAAATTTAAGGATTCAATTCAATGTTATTTTATGGAATTAAAACAGTGATAAGCTCAATAATATACCGACAGAAAAACTTTTTTCAGTAGATGTAACGGGTGATCTCGAAGGTTGGCGATGCGCTTTAAACTATTTTTTTAAATCTCAATCGGATTCTATATTGATGATTCTATTTTTTTTAAATCTCAATTGGCTTTATATTGATTATACTATTTACTGAAAATTAAAGTAAAAAAAAAAACTGACAAAAAATTCGCCAAATTACGCATTGATCAAGTTTTAGAGAATCGCAGCAAGATTCCTGAAGTATTCTCAAAACAAAGACAAAATTATGGCAAGAATCATACTTCAAAATATACTAAAATGGTGCTAGATAAACTAGCAGAAAGAAAGCATCTGTGCGAAAATTCGAATAATACTGAATCTAGTGAGGCTATTATGAAAACAGGAGAGTATGATGTATGGGCACAAGGTTCAAAGAAATTTTATGTTTTTATGGATTTTGAAGTCGGTTCTCGATGATACTTATTTTGTTAATATTATTAGCACACGATCAATCAGATGATTTTTCGCATTCAATAAAGGAGCGAAAAATTAAGGTATACTGTTAAAATTTTGCTGAATACAGTAAATGTATATATTTACCAAGCATGTATGTAATCACATATTTCTATTCGTCTATTTCCTACTAAAAAGCCACCTCAGACCTTGAATATGAAACCTGCAGTTAACATTCCTGCTGTTCATCTACCACATTGTGGATCAAGCTACATGCCATCATTTAAAGATCATCAGGTTTTTTTTCGAAGATATAAATAATTTCAAATTTATAATTAAGAATGCTAATTATTATATCCTTCATAGGAGCTCCTCATGATGGCTCATGAAGAAGAAGTCGTCAAATTAAAGCAAATGCAACGTATCAATTCTAAACTTCCGTACTCCGTCGATGTTTCTTCTGCACTAAACGTAGAAAATATGATTGAAGAAAATGATGAAAGATCATCAGAAGATGATGATGTTGAAAGTGAAGAAACTAAAGAAAAAGTTATCCAAACAAAAGAGCAGCGCAAAAAGACAAAAGCCGAACGGAACAAGGAAAAAAGAAAAATGGACAAAATAAAGGAGGAGGAACAAAGAAAGACACAAAAAAACTTAATGAAAGAATTTGAAAAGTAGTACTTCCGTCAACCATACTTAGAGGTAATAAGGTCTTATAGTAACTATCATATTATTCAAAATTTAAAACAATAGACTTCCTGGAATTCTCAAAACTGTCGAGAATGAATGTGCTGAGCATGAAAAAAAGATGATTGAACGGACAAAATTGGCCGAAGAGGTGAAAAAAATGCCAAAGAAAAAAATTGGCAAATATCGGTGAAATATCTTTTATTTTTTATTATGTTACGGTTATTTATTCGAATCATCGTTATTAAGTTTTATTCATTAGAGTCAGAAAAGCACCAGTCGATGTAAAACTCACGGAGGATTTGGAAGGGACACTAAGACTTTTAAAGGTGCCTATCTGATAATCCTAGCTACAATTTTTGGATTTAAGTTTCTTAAAATTTACATTTTATTATTTAATAACCCATAATAGCCTGAAGGAAATCTTTTCCGTGATCGAATGATTAGTTATGAAGAGCGTAATATTATCGAGCCGAGAGTACCTGTCAGGTAAGACATTTGACAAATTCTTCAAGGTAGTAATAAAAAATTCTTATGATATTGTTATTTATAACTAGCAAAAAACGAAAATATAAACTTAAAGAGTACGTGAGAAACTCCTATAAAAATTTCCAGTAGATAAGTATGGTGGATTGATTGATTTAATTATAGGAAAATAGGATATGATACAAATAAATAGGGTTGGAACTATCTAAAAAGTTTTTATTTATTTAGGCCACTCCAAATTGATTCTTTGTTTAACATAACATTAAATAGTTCATAAGAGTGGTTGAGGGCGTGAAAAATACACTAATTAAAAAAAACACAGCAATTCTATTGGCTGTAAAAAATATAAAAAGTTAATACTGCCATTTGATTGGTTGTTAATACGGTGTTTTTTTTAGTAAAATTTTGAAAAAATAGAGGGGGGGGCTATGTTAAACAAAGAATTAAATTGGTCTGGCCTTAACCGTGTTCACCGCTTAATTCAGCCATCATTAAATATTAAAATAATTCTGGTCCATGGTTAACATAATTTTGCCCGGAACTATGAAACAATTTTTAAGCTGCTAAACAGTTCCAATAGATAACTTTTATTTAATTTAAAAAATATATTAATTACGTTATCAAAGTAAATAACTACTATGACTTTTGCTAATGTTAAAAATGCACGTAAAGAAAAACAAAATTACTTTGAAAAGTGGCATATCTTTAGAGGATGGAAGCACGGGTGTAAGGTTTGTGACGAATGTAATCATCATTCACATCTATATTGCTGTATTGTAAGACATGCAAAAAAGTAGCTAATGGCATATATAGGCAATGTGAATGTGAAAATTCTCGAATAATTAATAACATTTAATAAAAAAGTGTCAAGTGATCCTCTGTGCTTCACGTGAGAAGTCTACATGCCTACCACCTGCAGGTTTATGCAGGACGGGGTAAAGTATTGCGATCTGCCTATTCTGGATTAGCTACACTAAATAGCATGCTCTGCACTATAGAACTCAAACGCTAAGTTACTTTAACGCGTCTTTTTCCATTTGCTTTAATTATACGGTCACGGGTATAAAAAAAAAATATGTAGGGTAAGAGGATGTATGCGTATTTTTCGCTGTAATTTCTATATACTACCAGACTTCTAATACGTTTTTTATCATGTCCACTACTACTATTAACGTTCGAGGAAATTTAACTGCACGCGACGATATCCCGTATACCAAGTATTTCGAACTTTGTTCGTACGAGAACTGGTCTCTTCACCACTACGTCTCCCTTATACTTGATAATTATAAGTTTGCGGAGAAAGAAACAGCGCATCTTTTATTTTATAATACTCTGCTGTCTATTAGTGATAGTCTATATATATCACAAGAAATTCGGGAGACCGTTCAAAAACTCCTAAAAAATAAAAAGGTAGGCGTAATAGATACAAAATAAGATTTGACGGGGCTTTATGGCCAGATACTTGTACCTATTAGAATGACTAGTAGGAACTATGCAAGTATTGAAATGGATGCGTTTGTTAGGATGGCTAATAAACATCATGGAGTACATCATGATAATTTTTAGTAAAGATCCGCTGATTCTGGAGGAGAATTTGGCTATACTTTTCTTTATATTAATAAAAATTATTATTGATATATCCCTGCATCTGCCATCAAACTTTATTTTTTGTTTAGGCCAGACCAATTTAATTCTTCGTTTAACATAATCCCCCCCTCTATTTTTTAAATTTTATATGAGCCCAAATACACATTAATAGTAATTAATAGTATTTACCTCCTCAATTTTTTAAATTTTATAAGTTATGTTTACTGTTCCATTTCTCATTTAATTTTGCTTTCTATAGACCGATACAGAGAAGGTAAATAGCTTATGGAGGAAAGCTAGCAAAGAAAGGAGCATCATCATCGCTAGCACCATCCTCGTCTATCCTAGGGAAGAGGCAGATAGATCCGGTTATAACGATCTCATCTTTGAAAAAACAACGCGTAGTTCCCGATATAAGCCGTTTTTGCCCAGATGCTATCTAAAGTATATAGTATAGTATGAAAAATAAAAGTAGTAGCGTAGTACATAGTGATGGTACCCGATCAAAAAAACGTTACCCGGTCGAGGTAGGAACGTCCCGAGTGCCCCGAGTTTGTAGATCGTTACACAATTTATTAATGATTTTTTTTTATACGTTT